CGGACAGAAGTCAATGGAGCAACACCAGTCTAAGTAAGGCCAGCTTCAGCTGGGGGAGAATTTGGCCATTTCTTCTATGGCTAGAATCATGAAACACTTCACAGGAAAGAAGAAAGTCCTTAAAAGAAATACCCATAGACAGCATACTTGCAAATTATCTGGGATGAAGGATTCATGTTCTTCAAAAGTATTTAGTCCTTTTCCGGGGAGTGGCTTTGCTTGGAACAACCATGCTGTCCCACTGACCCATCTTCACTGACTGAACCCTGGCAAGCTCCTTGTGCCTTCCTGGAATCAAGGAACCAGTGTAGTCTTCAATAAAGCCTTCATAAAGGTTACTTCTGGGGAAAGATTGCTCCTCATGCTCCTAAGCAGGTAGCCCAGGATCTTTAACATGTTTCTGCAGTAAGCCACGTGGCAATGTAACTTAGTACAGCCCCAGATAGAATACCATGTTCCCAGGGCCTGGGTGGCTCAGAGTTTCAGCATGGAGTGTTGAGTCTTTGATCATATTAATCAGGACAGTTAGCAAAGTTCATCTATTTGAACCTCCCTGGGGAATAAGCAGAGGACTCTGTTCAAGTTTCCAACACCAACTATTCCCTTTATCCCTTAAATCAGAAAATCTGTAAGACAGGCAGGATTCAGCAGATCAGAATTCAAAGACATTGATGAGAGCGCCATGAAGATCCTGAACTCCTGTCAGTGTCTGCTCTATGCTCCCACCTAGAAGGAAGATCAGGGAGGACTATCAAGGAGACAGCTCAGCTTGTGACTGATGAACACTTATCTAGCCCCAGCTATGTCCCAGGTCTCACCTGCTTGCTTGGACATGCTCATGTGGTCTCCTCCTTCCATCCAGCTGAAGGTGCTTGCCAGTTACCTGGTATTGTCCCAGTCCTGCCTGACTCTACTGCAACCCAACTCGTCCTCCTGAGGTGGGAGAAGAATTTTTAGTTTTCAACCATTTCAGCACAGAAGTTGGTCTAATATCTAGGAAAATGACACTGGGAAGAGAGAGATCATTTGGCCAGAGGCAGGGGGAGGAGAAAGTCTTCTCCCTCTCAGAGATAGCAGTGTTGTTTTGTTGGGTCAGCTGTAGGTGGATCCACAAGCTTCATTGCTGTTCAGAGGGATCCACATATGGAGAAAAGGAATTCTCTACCCTCAGATTATGACAACATTGCATCCAGGGATGCCAAAGTGAAGAAGCCTTTGCCTTCCTGGTTTCTTGGCATTTTACAGGACACACCGCATCTTTAGTCTCAGATCTGTCACAAAACTCACCTCTGGTCAAATCTTTCTGGAATAGTTTTATTCCTGCTTGACCATAACTGTCCACAGAGATGTTACACCCTTATCTAAGTGGATACCTGTGATGATATTTGGAAGAAAAGAGGACACCAGTGCACCACCATTGATCTGATCACATCTCCCTGATAACCCTTGTCTACCAAGCCATCTTATTTCTCTATCTGTCCTCCAGGTGCCTGCACACATGGAGTATTTGACACAACTTCCCATCTTTCAGGAGCTTAACAAAAGAAAGTTCACTTTACCTCTGGCTGAGCTAAGTCTTGCTGAGTAGACTCCTGGACTAGATTTTAACAGCTTTGATAAGCTGTTAAAATGGGGAAGAGAGAAAGAAGAGCCCTGTGAAAAAACGCATGCTTAAACCAGGAGAAAAGCAAGCCAAATGCAACCAAAGAGAAGAAAGTAATATTATAGATTTAGACAAATATAGACATTAAAGATTTTGCTGATGCAAATGATAAGTGTAACATCAATAGAATTAATGAAGCAATATACACCTGCTTAGTGTCAATATTTAGGGAAGAAGAAAAGCATTTAACATCACCTGTGGATAAAAGAGAGGATTAGGATCATGCTTCTGCACAAGGTATTTAGCAAATTATTATAATTGTTTATAGGCTTTATTTAGGCTTCTAAATTTATACTTGATTCCTTCTCTATTTCACAGGAATCAAAAGTGCTAAAATGACAGGATGTAAGGCCAGAGAAGCAGAATTACATCAGTTGAAAGACACAGCAGGGTACTTGAGAACTTTAACCAAAGATGCCAATCTCACTAGCAGCCAGATTACCTATTAATACAGAAAGAATATCCAGGGGAAAAAAGTATTAAACCATGTAATCTATAGTATGATGCTCTGTGCTGAAGGATTGGACGTCAGCCCCATAAAAAAAGACTTGAATAGGACGAGCTTGGCCCTCAAGGCTTGTCACACCTGAGTCATCACTAATAATAAGCATCACTAATAAGCATCACTAATAATAAGCAAGAAAAAAGCAAGGAATACAGGGGTGCACAGGTAGATGGCTGTTATTTTATTGGCTTCAAGAAGCCCCAGCAAGAAAACCAGTTTACAAGTGTTTTCTCTAGCTGAGCACAGTGGCAAACACCTAGACTTTAGCACCAACACTGGGAATATTAATTCCTCATGCTAATCAGGGTCTGAGTATTTCCCAGTTTTATTAAACCTCAGAACACAACAGCCCGGCTGAAAAAAGAATACTCCAAAGTATTTTAGGTACTTCCTACTGCAAGAGGAAGGGGGCAAACAGGAAGAACTTGTATTCCTCTGGCATTACTATTTGTCCCACTGTCACCTGCCCAGCAATTGCCATGGGCCTAACCAGCAGTCCTGGGATTCCAGAGCATCCTTATCATGGGAGGGGAAGGAAGGGACAAGCAGGGGATGTAAAGGCTCTGGATCCTGAAGACAGGAATCACAGGTATCTGATGCCTTGATCTTTCAAATCATCTTTAATTAGTTTGTTTAACTGGTATTATCCTTAATTATTCCTGCTGAGTTCATAATGCCTGCTCATCTGATTCAAGATACAGTCACATGTCAAAGGTTTGCAAGACCAGGGCCTGCCCTAATAGATTTTAAAAGCTAGAGCCCAGAAGTATCTGGAAATTGCTCTGAGAGAAGTATTCCTACATGACAGACATATTTATTTAACCTGTTTTTTTCCCATCATTGCAGACTTCTATCTTCTTGCTGGCTTTGATGGTTCAGGTGTTTGGCTTGCCTGTCTCTTTGTGCGGTGGTTATGTACTGGTAAGAGCTGGGAGATGCTCCAGTCTCAGCTTCTTTGAGTGGCAATATCTAATTTTGTTCTTGTATGGAAAGTTCCTGTGTGGCACAAGTCACTTTCCAGTTCCACCAGCCACACAAATCCTGTTCAGGGTGTACTCCCTGCCAAGTACTGCCTGGGAGGGTGGGGGCAGGAGGGGCACACAGGGACCTGAGGAGTGGCAGGGCAGCGTTCTTCCAGCCTGGCTGCTCACTCTCCATGTGAGCCAAGAGAAACTGCTTATGGCTATTTTCAGAAAATGTAAGAAAAGCCATATGATGGAGGCTTGGGTTTTTTTCTACATAAACAGCAGTAACCTTTCCCAAGTCTGCATTGGACCACAGATGTCAATGGTCTGTGGGCTGACAGGTCCAAAAATTAGGAAATACAGATTTTTTTTCTGCGAGCCTTTCATTGGCTTTGTCTAACTCTCCTTGCTGACACCATGACCCTGATATCTCACAGAAACAATAATGCTCCCCCTACCATCTGACTCAGGTAGGTATGTGGAAATTGCCACTTTTGAGTACTCCAGGCTCTTTAGACGTAGGTTGATGGCCAAGAACCCAGCTTGCATAGCAGAGTCCACGTGCAAGGGCTGTGAGCTTTGGGGAACCCACCCATCTGTTTACTGCCCTCTGCAGGAAGAGGTTCATTTCCATTGCAGGCCACACCACCACATTCCTGCCCATACTTTCAATCCTGAGACAGGCCCAAGCTCTGTTCTGCCCAGACCCCAAAGGGGGTCAAAGCAGCAGGATGAGGATTAATCTTAACAACGTGATCTTGGTGTGACCCTGGTGTGACCATTGGCTTCCAGTGGAGGGAGGACGAGATGCTCACACAGAGAGCCAGTGGATGCAGCTCTGGTGAATGATGCAGAGCTTCATTGTTTTTCAGCTCCCAAGGAGAGCAGTTAATTTTCTAGGTAATGGTTGTATTTTTTTTCCTCAGGAATGGTGGAGCTGCTCACTCCAGTTAGGCACCTTGCCATAAAGGCCCTGTAATAGGCAGGAATGGCTCCCTTTTCCTCACAGTGACAGTTTAATTCTGAAGAGAAAATTTCCCCTATAACCCTCCTAGACCTTGCCGATTGTAACTTCCAGTACTTTCATTATTGAGATAAACATTAAATCCCTGCAATGTCTTTGAAATATTGTCCTGAAGACAGATTGTCACCTGTGCCCTATGAGGTCAGACTGGATGCCCACTTGTCCATGTGTTATTATTTGTGCACTTTGGACATGCTAGGTCTGGCTGTCGTGGTGGAAGTCCAGCAAAAATGTCACTGGAACACAAGAAGAGGAACATTTTCCTGTGAGATCAGCTCTGTCCGGGAGGAAGGTCCCACTAGGAATCCTCAATAAAGTAGCTGGAAAGGAGAGTGCAAGTTCACTGGCTTTGGGATACAGCTGCCCCGGGGAAGGCGGAAGGAAAACCCAACTTTTCAGCCTGCCAGCCCAGTGCAACGAGGAGGTGGGTCCCCGGGAGCCTCCTGCCTGGGGTCTTGGCACTGAGAACGACCGGGACCACACACGGCTATCCTGGGATAACCAGCGCTCTTCTCTGAATGCGCCCAAAGTCCCACTGCATCCGGAGCACACACCATCCCGAACACGGGGAGCAGGCAGGGCACCCCCGCCCCGGTACAGCGCTGGGGAGCAGCGAGGAGCCCCAGGAGCCACCCACGGGCTCAGCGCGGCACCCCGGGGTTCCCCTCTCCTGCCACCGGCCCCAGCCCGGCTCCGCTCCCCGGGACCGGCCGACGGAGAGGGTCCGCCCCCCAGCGCCAGCTCTCCATCCCAGCCCCAGGACCGGCTCCCACCCCGGAGCGCCGATCCCGGCCAGCTCCGCGGCTCCGGGGCGGGGCGGCAGCGCGGGCGGGGCGCCCCGGGCCGGCCGGGGGAGCCGGCGCTGCTGGAACAGGAGGATACGGGAGCGGAGCGGAGCCGAGCGCAGGCAGTGCCGTGTCCCGGAGCCCTCGGGAGCCGCTGGGCTACGGCCCCGCTGCACCCCCATGGAGAAATACAAAGGTGAGGGGACGGAGGCGTCACGCGTGTCCGTGTCCCGCGGGACCCGCCGGGGGGTTATCGGGGACCTGCGGGGGCGGCGCTGGAGGGAGAGAGGTGTGGTGGTCCTGGGGGGCGACAGACCCATTGACACTGTTGTTCCCTCGAGTGGGAAACCGCGACGGTGGTGGGATGTGGCGGGCGGGGGGCAGCTCCCGTGGGGATGTTTCCCGGGAGTGGGACTGGGATCAGCTGCGAGGAAAAGGGGTCCCCGCGAGTGAAGCCTGAGCGCAGTTCCGGGGGTCGGGGAGGGTTTGTCCCACGAGTGGAACCGGGCGACGAGGGAGAGGGTCCGGATCCGAGGAGGAGGAGGAGGCGGGGAGATAGTAGGGACGGGAGCCGGCTCCCAGGGGAGGCAGTCTCCGGGAGTGGGGCCAGGGATCGAGGTCCCCGCAAGTGGGGCCGGGATCAGCTCGGGGATGGAGGGGGAGCGGTCCCTGCGAGTGAGACCGGGCGGCGGGAGCCGCGGGGAAGGTGCGGGGCAGCGCGGGCGGGTCCCGCCCGGGGATGTGAAGTCTCTGCGTACCTGTCCCGGGCACCGGGCAGGGAGGGAGGGAGGGAGATGTGGAGAAACTTCGCGTTTTATCCGATTCACAGATCGGGACCTTTTTTTGTCACTTAAAAGCAGCGTCTTGTTGCGTTTTCTGCAGCCGCTCAGTTGTCTGACATTGCCGGCTTCGTCTTTCACCCTAAACCGCTCATCTTCGCGGACTTCCAACCCTCCCAGGCTGAACAGGCACGACATTGAGTGTCCTGTTGTCTAAACGCAAATAGTTTTGGTGGTTAGAGAGAGGGCAGGCGAGCAGCTCCCAGCTTTCTCTCTGGCAGGTCTCATCTAGGCTGGCTGTCACCCACAGCCCATTTATTTCCCCACAATCAATGGCTCTGGCGCTTCCTCTGTGATGCCGCTTGGTCGCAATCACCGAGATTGGCGCATCTCGGGTCCGTGCTGCTATGGGCATTCTTGGACACTTCTCAAACCTGAGCGCTCCTTGCCAGCTGAGGAGGGAGGAGGTGGGGCGAGGTGCCCGGGCAGGTGGCGCTCAGATGCGTGTGGGTGCTCTGTGATTTCTGCTCCTGCTGGTGCATAAAAGCTTCACCTGGAGGAGGCAGATCCAGCACTTGTGTAGCACCGAGTAACTTTGCAGTAAATTTTACCTGTTGAGAGGAAATGTGACTCTTCTTGTAATGGCTGTTCTCCTCATGGAGCTTGAACGTTTAAGTATGGAACTTGGTACTAAACAGATGTATTCCTGCCTGACCTCATTTGGACTTGTTACCATCAAACCAGGAAGGTTTGGTTAGGCATAGTAGATGCATCTGAACTAATAGCCCTTGTTCCTTAATCCTGCTTTGGTGGGGACTTTGTTTGTCGAGGTATCATACTGTACGAAGTTAATTTTTGCCAGGACTGTGGTTTTTTGACTTTAGTATTCTGACAGGGCTGGCACTGTGCTGCCTGTTGCATTTTGATCCTTTTCTTTCTTGTAATTGATACTTTACAGGCCTGATAAGCACAATAGTAATGTACTGCAAAAGCGATGCTAAAGATTATATTACAAGTCAAATATTGTGTGGTCTTTTTTTTTTTTTCCCTCCTACTGGCAAGGTCTGCACAATTCCATTCAGTTCCAGTAGTAAAGCAGTAGATTCATTAGGATTCAGCTATGTTTTGTATATTGTCTCTCTAAATATGCACACTGCTTCCTCAGAGCAGCAGGGATGTGTTCTGCACATGTGTAATGAATAGCGAGCGCAACTGATCGCAGAGCCTTGCCAGTGCTTTTTGTGTGAGTGGTAACGAGTTTGGGAGCATGGGAGAGGGAGGGTGTTAACGAGGCACCAAGGCATCACCAGCCCTGGGGGGGCAGCCACAGGTGGTGGCCACAGCTTGGTTAGTGGGTGGGAGGTGTAACTGGACTCACTGGGGCTGGTGAGGTGCAGGGGAAGGGCTGGGCTGGAGGAGAACATGTGGGAGTTGGGAGCCCTGAGGAGCAGGTGGAGAAGGCAGAGGAGTGAGTTGTTATTAATAAGCACAGAGGGATATGTGTCTGTTCTGGTGGGGATAACTCGTTGCTGCCATGGTTCAGGCAGAGTGCTTGTGCAGAGAAATCCTGTAATGATAGAGGTGCACAGACTCAATCAAACAGGGCTGTTGTGCAATGAACAACAGCCTGTTGTTTGGGGAACAGGAATTTGACTGCAAGATCTCTCCTATTACTTAAGAAATTAAGCTTGCAAGCATCAGCAAAACAGCAGACTTTCTTTCCTTTAAACACAGGTAGGGATGTGCATTAATCTGGATTCTAACCTGGCACGTGCAGGAGGTGTCTCTCCTATTTCAATGGCAAGTGAAACAGCCACAGGAATCTGGATGGGTGGAGTGTGCAGGGCCAGGTGGGATGGGAAGCTGGGTCTAGTGGCCAGCAGGGTGATACCAGTGGAGTGGGAATCGCTTGGGCTGTTGGACTTGCATGGTGGGAAGTGAAGGAGGAATTGTGAAACTCTCCTGGGAATGGGCTTCCTTTCCCAGTGACTACAAATGAGGTTGCAAGGCCAGCTGCACAGGAAGACACTGTGTCTTGACTCTTATTACGCTGTTTAAGCTCTGAAGGATGATCTTCACGTGCAGTAGGGATTTTTCTGTCAGGACACTCTTTAGAGTGCCTTCTGTTGGTGAAGATGCTATTTAAAAATCCATCTTCTCTCTGTCATTAGGAAGTATATGTGAGGCATAAGGAGCACCAGACCCAACAACCCAAGGGGACATAGGGAGACCTGCAGAGGGCAGCTGTGAGTGGGGGTGGTCACTGTACCCACAGCTGTGTAGTGACAAAGACAGAGCTGTTTATCTCTTGCTCCTCCTCTGTTTTCTGCAAGTGTTCTCTGGCTTTCTTCTCATGTGCTTTGCCTTTGCATATGGCAGCCGTCCCATCTTGTGCTCCCTGTTACAGGGGCACTATGGCTTCTTGCCTACTCCTTGCCATGCTTATCAGACATGGCTGGGTGGTCCATGACCAGCCATCTCCAGACTCCTGGAGGGGAAGATGTGCTGAATGTGCTGTTACTGATGAGGGGTATGTTGGTGGCACCTTTATCTATCTGCCATCCCTTCAAGTCCTCTCAGACCAAGCCCTTGTCACCACAGTCGCGAGTGATTCCCTGTGATGCAGCCCTTTGCTCATAGTCTAAAATGTCAAGTGGTGTGAGCCTTGAGAGATTTGTAAGATTATTATTGTATTTTTAATGTGTTAGAGCTCTGTAATGGAAATCAGAGCAACTTGCAGCTCAGTTCTTCAAAGAAAGGTGTTTGGCATTCATGTTTTACTATCTCTGTTGAGCAAAGATACAAGTTTCATATCTCTTAAGGTGGGTCTTCAGTAGTGTTTGCAGTGCTCCCCCACAGAGATGAGCGTTGTTTGCCCATGGAGGAGAGGTGGTCTTCTTAACAGAGGCCAACAGTTTAGTGTTGATAAGGATTAAAATAGAGACATGGTAGAAAGAAGGAGTGTTTTCTTGCTAGTTAACATGTTTTAACTGGGAGGGTAAAGGGAGGTGAGTGTTCGAGGCTTCGGCACGTGTACTTTTTAACAAGTTATTGCAAATACAGGGATATATATGCTTGGGATTAAACTGCAAAGTGGAGACATGAATAAAATATATGAGCCCTAGCCTGGTAGCAATCTGAGGCCCTTTATAAACTCTTGTTAATCAGAGTCGGAAATGGATTGATTCATATGAACATGATCCCATGTCTCTGTACAGACATATGTGGTTTCTCCTCAGCTGATCATCCACACAGCTGTTGTGTTTAGCTCATTGTCTTGGTGTGGCAACTGGAGAAAGCAGGGCAATGTACTGCTCTGTGCCAAATCCAATACAACTTTCAGCTGCCAGGCTGAGCATTCTTTTAAATGCAGATGAAAATTAATGTAATGCGTAACCTCGTAAAGTATACAGTAACTCTCACTTCTGTGAGAGTGACCCTGATTGGTTTTGGAGAATGGAACACACTCCCCACATTCTGCTGGGGAATAGGCAGCAAAAGTGCAGTTATTTACTCTGCAGGGATTGAGGACATGAAACCTTTTTATGTAACTGAAACCACAGCCTGACTCAATTATACATCTGCCATGTCCACCCTTCCAAACCATCCTACACACTGTCACCTGTGCCAGTGTAGTATTTCTGTCCCTCTAGCACAGCTGCGTTTCTTATTTAAACAGGGCACATGAGGATGCTGTGATTTGTATTGGGCACAAATGAGGCTCTCTAGAGCTCTCCACACCAGGACGGGCTCACTGCAGATGGGCATGAGGCTGGAGGGATGCTGACTTCAGCTCCATTTGATGAGCAGTGGTGGCCCTTGGGGGGGTTTGTGTGTAACTACCAGGTTTGGGGTGCTTCTTTTGCTATCCCCAAAATAGTCTTTGAGTTTTGCTTCATCTCTTGCGAGTAAGGGGCAGGGATCCATGCAGTGAAGAGCAGTGGGACAATACCCCTGTAGCCCTGCTGTTCTAGGGTCTGTGCTCCATCTGTATAACTACCAAAAATTGCCAAGAGCCCTGCTCCTGAAGCTAGGAGAGAAACTTTCTTCCGGAAAAAAAAAAAAAAAAGGATAAAAGCTAGCTCACAAGCTCTGAGCCTTTGAGCATCTGCTTTTGGAGTGCTCCTGGCAGGGCATGAGCCTTTACCCTTGTGGTATCTTCCAGTGTGTAAGTCAGTCTTGCTGCCCTTCCTTCACACACCTTCTCCACTCCCTGCCGTGGGCTCCGTGTGCCATGCTGGGCTGGGGCCGGAGGTACCATGTGAATGAGTTTATTGTTCGTGGGTTGTCACTGATCGCTTTCATTGAACACCCACAGCCCAGGAACACAGGGAGTGTCTATGCAAAAATGCTTGTACTGCTTTATTTAGACACATGGCTGGCTCTTTCAGCTCCCAGCAGCAACAATGGACTGGGG